CTGAAGTAGAGGTGATCAATCGATCAGTGTGAATGGATGATGGGTGAGAGAGAATTGTGATGGACAATGAACAAGCCAAAAAACTGCCTTTAAACAAATATTCAAATTCAAATTGAGATGGACTGTGCAATTTGGTGAGGACACTGTCAACTGACTTGACATTTGAAAGCATCGATATTAATGAGAATATCGAGTTACGAGTTGAATGTGTTGTCTAGGGTGACATGAGATCTATTTGGTTTAGGTGTCATTTCTGGCATCAGGAACGGTGCAGATTCACACAGGATTTCAACAGCATGCCACCTTGTCCTTCTATCCTACACCCATCTATCTATCAGCTGAATATGATGTCAGTCATGACGACAAAATCTGGACTGGTGTCATATACATGTAGAGACAAACTGATATCTAATGCCTAGTTAACATGCACCAAATTCTAACTAACATTATTCCACACTGAATTTCTTCCATATAATTCACTATAAGTCTTGACAAATCATACTGAAAATCCGTTCTCCACGAATAATTCCCTCTTTTGTCGAATTTATTCATCAACACTGTCTGCACTACGAATTCCTCAGACGCGACTTAAGAGGGAACGGATTAAACTACTTGCTCTGTCCATGGGAACGAAATTGTAAAATCTTGTCAGCTGCTCTACAGATGTCAGTTTGCTTTTAATTATACTTGTCGAATACACATCACTACTAGTACTGCTACTATAAGTTCAAAGAACCTAAGATGAATAGGAATCATCAAGTCGTACGTGACGTGGTTGTCTGGATTATGTTAGTGAAATTTTAGTCCAATAGACTTAATCTCACCCACAAATTGCTCAGTATCCTGACAGTATTCAATCCTTACACATGGGAATACATGATCTTTGATTGTTTGACATTATTTTGGTTGAGCTTGACATCATATTTGTTTCCATCCTGAACATTGTGTATTCCAGTACAAATTGTTTCAATGTGTCTACATAAATAGTTAGACTCATATAGTCTGTTTCACATATGTCCTATTATTTAACATTTTGTTCTATGTACACTTTCACAATGATTTCCTCTACACACCTCACACAATCTACACTGTTTGATGTGAAGATGTAAACAGAAGCCTTTATTAAGACGAGGAAAATGATGTCACAAAAGTCCGAAGATGCATATATGATCAGCAGATTCAAGAAAATGAATAAAATCTGTTGTGCTATTATAGTATTGATAATCTCTGAAAAAGTTGGTTTTGAAGGATCACATGTCGTCAAGTTAGATGGATGTATCATCCATCTTTAGATAACTACGCTTACCCTGTGAGGCTTCAAGATGATCTAATTAAGTGAACAAGCACAAATACTTTTTTGATTGTCAAATGGCATCCACGGATTGAAACTGATTTATGCTGCCTATATCTGAAAGTCTTGTCCACAAAATCGAAAACCTATCACATTTCGAGGTCTTTCATCACGTCATACGCACAAATGGTCAGGGAGTGTAATACAAATGAGACGGCCTTTATGCAACAGTATAAACAGTCAGCATAAAGTAATATTATTTGTAATTGCCAGTAGATGCCTGATGTTTATATGTGTTAGTAGACGTAATGTGATGTGAGTTGCTTCTAAGAAACATTAGAAAAAATAGCGCTTGATTAATGGTCGATATAATATTCAGTGAAGTGTCGATTGAATCTAGATACTCCATACACGCATTCACAACAAAAACTTTTGTGAATCCATGTTATTTCTCGACGATCAAAGTTCAATGAAACTATTCAGTTAGAAAATGTTAAGATGGTATATAAATAAACATTTAATTTGATTTTACAATTTATGAAATTTGAAACTGTAAAAGGCAAGTAGTGTCATTACCATTAGCATTATTGTGATATACTTCATAATCGGTACTGTCAAAATGCTTATACACTTGTGTAAGAGAGGTGGCAATCTAAGAACATTCACATTCACACTGTGCATAACAAACATTTGATTGTAAATCCAGACTTCCACAAAACTCACTGTCATGCAGATTGTTGGCGTCATATATTTGTATATGGATATGCCTTATATAAAGAATTACATTTCAGCTATTAGCCATCATATTTCTGAAAACAACATATCAGTGAATCTAACAAACTGATGTTCCTGCATGACAACGACTGATCAAAATACATGTTTCTTGAAATCGCGGAGATCAAAAGTAGATTGGATCCTTCTCAGAATGAATTAATCCACCAAATTCAGCAGTACATTTTTCAGGTCTTTCATTTTACTTTGTTTGTCACACAAGTGATCCGTGTTATTTTCTGCCTTAATGACAGTAATTAAAGGAAATATTTATTTATTTATTTCCTGAACATTGTGTAGTCCAGTGCAAATTGTTTCGATGTGTCTGCAGACATAATTAGACTCATCCAGTGTGTTTCACGTATGTCCTCTTATTAAACATTTTGTTTTATGTACACTTTTACAATGAGTTATTTTACTTTTACTTTCATCATCATTCGTGAATTATTTGCAGAGAAGGAAATATGCTGGAGCAGTGTTCAACATTTCTCAGTTTGAAAGAATCGCCTTTTCATACAAAAATAAGCCGATATCTATTCTACTTTATTTGGGTAAGCAAACACAAATCCAATATTCAGTGTTCCTATAATGTTTGATGCAGATGTTAGTCGATACCTTGTGTTTTGTTTTGGGGACTGTATGCATGGTTTTAATGGTGAGAAATTCGTAAGGCGTGAAATTGAGTATTATAAAATATTATTAATCTTTTATGCTGTAGAGAAATAATCACTGTATGGTTTGTTGAGCATACTAGAGCACCTGGTTTGTTCGTGTAAGTCAATGTTTTTCAAGATATTTTTGACTGCCGCTGTCTTTTCTGGATCTTTTGTTGATAACATGTATCTTCGGAGTAGAACATTGTCACTTCAACTACTGAGACTCAAAGTTTCACTAACAGTGCTGTTGCTTATAGGGTGTGCAAGCCAAACGCTTAACCCTTCCTCTTTTCTAGCTACTTGACTTACCTAGCCCACGAACGAGCCTGTCGTCCAGAAAGCAATTCGGACTATGTGTGTTTGTTTGACTAACAGTCTATCACTGAACCACTGAGGCTCATTCGATTTCACTCCATATATTAATTCTTTCAGAACTTTGAACTGTCATTTGTCTTTATGTTGTGAATTGTATGTGGTAATCACCGCCAACATATGCATCTTGACATTGATCACATTTTCGTCTGCTGACTGCATTGTCACTGGTGCAACGAATACTAGTGAGTAATTCAGCATTACGAATTTCTCATTGCTGCACTCACTGTGTTATCGTCTGGATTTCACATCTGGAAACACCATTACTCATGCAGTTATTCACTCAGTACGAAGGAATAATCAATGTGGATAGAGCCACCTATGAATGTGGTGGTCCGATGAGGCTAGGAAACATATAGAAACATAAGAAATGACAACATTCACATCAAATATAGTTCTCAATCCTACTTAGTAATCTTTATGATTAATAGCCGCATTCTGAACAAAAGTAATTACGCAACGTACAGAATTCACAGTGTAATATATATATATATATATAAAATTTTCTCTCCATCCAGGGACCTACATTAAAATAGCAACACAAAGTAACTCATTTGACGCAGTAAGATAATCTCATATGTTACGTTTATATCCGTTTTCAGAAAATGCACTGAAGTTTATCGAAAGCCATTTAAAAATGTGCGTGAGTACATTTGTCGGGAGACAGACGTACTCGATTGTTTTGTGCATTGTTTTGGATAGAAAATTGGGTAGCTCAGTGATTAACGCACAACATCGTGCAATTCTTTGGATATTATCTCTACGTGAAGTAGTGATAAGCGTCCACTCTTAACGTAACTCATTGACTCATGACATATCTTCTCTCACTTTGGTCTAATGGATTCTTCTGGAAAGGCAACCCAGCTTCTATCTAACTAACGACTATTTCCTTGCCGTTGTTATTACTGTGTTGAATACGTAAGCTGTAATCATCATTATGCTGACGTGTACAAATTGCTTTTCAGATTATTCGGAATATTGACAAATATACTTCTCATATTAGTCAGGAAATTTAAATACGAAAATGTGGTTGATCATCTTCTGATCGTAATCAGTGTAAGTGAGCTCACTTCATTTTCTCATATTTTCCCCTCATTCTCGAGATAGACGTTAACTCAGTTTATTGAAGAGAAAGCACAAACGACTTGAAATTACTGCATACGTGCGTTCTGTTGGTTTCAGGTTGTAGATGTGTGTCACTTTGACAAGGAAATGTCACACAGATTTAACACATTTAGTGAATCAGAATCCAGTGACACACATGTCTCCTTGCTCCTTCAACTTAGCTTCACTGGCGCAACTTTTGCAGCTCCAAAAAGTCAGGACTGAAGTCAGTCTGTTATATAGTCAGTCCTTATTGCAGAGGTTTTGCACTTGTAGTGACTCAATCAATTTCTAGGTAGATTAAGTTGTGCGGTATTAAATACATCACAGAATAAGGCGGTATCTCCATTGGGCTAAATTGTGTTGTCCTTGAAATACCAGATTTCACGCCTGCTGTGATTTGAGATCTTCTGTGATGACATTCATGAAATCAATGATTATGTCAGGCAGCTATTCTGTCATTTGACTGTGTTAATAGTTAATTGATTTAAAGCATTTGTAATGAAGTTCTTGAGAAATAACACATGCATTACATGTATTGTAGCTTACATCTAGGAATACAACTTTGAACACGTATTGAGCATGTTTTGCCGTATACTAATTGTCAGGTAATGTCAGTGGTGGAGGATTTTAGTTACATATTTCCTACCTTGGAAGAATATGTCAGTATCATCGGATTGAATGAAAAAATATTAGTTTCGACAGTTGATCAATTCTGTTGTATGCAACTCACCATTGAACTGATATGTCTAAATTTACGCATTCTTAAATACGACTTACTAATACAATTCCTCATCTGTTTCTAGTATCTACTGGTCTCTTTTGGCTTCGCGGGTGCGTTTCTGTATATTCAGGTGTTTTGCTCTCTCATATCTCTCCTTGTCACACTAGTGGTCAGTGGGATTGTGACATTTTTGGGTCTGCTGTTCAGAACTGTCAAGATGGAATATACTGTGATTATTTTCAGTATTGGGTGTGTTTTCGCTGGAGGTGGAATACTCATGTACATTTTGGGAGTCATTTTTCAGAATGAACAAGTAAGTTTTCATAAATATAATTCAAATGTGAGATATTTATGACTAAATGAACAGTTTGCGACACAGCAAGGAAATAATCCAGTCGTAACAACACATGTATTGAATAGAGGTTTTTAAAATCCACAACAAGTATGGACTTGTGAACATCAGAAATAATGCAGGATAATACTGCTCTTGAATGTTTATCCTTAACAGTCAAGTCAATTTTCGTGTGTGTGTGGACATACATACATAGGGAGGAGTAATCGCGCGTTGCACGTGAGGGTGGGAGAGCATATCCCAAAGTGGTTAGAAAAACAGATGAATTGTGACAAGCCCATAGATGCAGGTGTCAGACTACCAACTTCGTCTATAGCTAAACATTTATTCGAGATGAACCATAAGGTTGATGTTAATTCAGCCTTTAAGGTCATCTATAAAAACGGTCAAGGCTGTTTACTGAAATACGCTGAGGCTATAGCAATTGATAAACTTAAGCCCCCCTTGTGTGTAATCTTAACCTACCTTGGTAATCCTTATTTGATTGGATTACCAAACGTCTGTGTTAATTATTCTTAATTCTTTTTTTGTCACCTTGTTTAATTTAACTTTTCCATATATATTGACTTGACAAGTAAATGTGTGATCAGATTGTTTGAAATGTATAGCGCTAATATATCACATTTTTCAGATAATCTCCGTCTTCTAATAATGCTATCAAAATTTATAAAAGGGACTAACTGTTTTGAATTGTAATTATTTAAAAACATAAATGAGATATACTCAGTCTCTGTCTGTGAGTCTAATCTAAGATCACGTCAGGTATTTATTAGAGCCGCCTGTTATTCATAATTTTCTTACAGTGTTGATTTTTTAATCATAAAATAGGATGGAGATATGATTTTGTTTAGTGTTTGTTAAAAGTTGAAAATCAAGTTCCCTCCAATTAGGAGATTGCTTAGATCCGTTAGCAGAAATAAACTCAAACAGCAAAGCAGAAGTTTTAGGAATACTAGGATGTCAGAATATAACGTTACTTGAGAGTTTGGCTTTAGTTTATATAATAATATTTTAGCATAAGAACCCAGAGGTTAACCAGGACCATCTCTCGATAATTTCACCTCTGTAGTCTTCTCCATTTGGTCATTGAGTCTTATTTTTGAATAGAGATGTAAAATTCCCTTCACATTTTACAAATTCTGACAAATTATTGTATTGCAACAGCAACCAGGCAGCCAGAGGAAGTGGGAACACTATGTGTGAATACACATGTTTATCCTTCATGTCACCCGGGTAGACATTGTTGTATTTCCGGGAAATTGCACAGATGACATAAACAAAGATCTGCTTTGGCTGGAGGGTAATTACAATGTTCTGATAGAAGAATATAATGATTTTAACTTCCAACAAAACTTTGCAAAGTGACTCAGCTGCTGTTTCCTGGAGTGAAACATTTGGAGATATATACGTGCTCCCCTCCCAAGAACGTTTGACGATAGTTTTGTTTATCGAAACCATTTGATATTAAAAACAGAAATGAAACGAAACTTATCATCCACCATTTTTCATTTCAGTAGAGCAATAGAAGTGATTTGAGTGGAATATTTATCATATCACTTACCTGGTCTATTCCTCGTCAACATCGTATACGAAATCATTTTTCAACGTGTTTGTGAGAGTATCATAATAACAGTTAACAGGAGACTGTGGTCAAGAGCTACACATATAAATCATATGCATAGAATTTTGAATGATAATTCTGGAAACGAAATTGGTCAGTGTGGAGAAAATGCGTTATGTAATGGAAACACTGATGGAGGTGAAGTCACCATGTTATAAAGTAACTTCTTCCTCAATGTGTAGCTGTCTCTAAATGATTTTTCAGTGTATGAGCTGTTCAAGTTTAACTTCTGAGACCATTTTGTGAAATTCTGAATCCCTTTTTTTCTGACACAATATTATCTTTGAAAGCACTTTAGAAAGAATTTCCTTGTGTATGTAAATAATAATAGGACTTTTCATCCGTATAAGGCTGATGAGAATTAGATCCAAAAGTTAAACGATTTTATCATATTCTACTAAAACCACTCGTTTTGCTTTACATATATATTCATAATATGGATAACTTAGGTGCTCCAATGCACATTCCTTTATACCTTTCTATATTAATGTAATTTCCTTTGGATTTGTTTTCTTATAGAAACTTCAGATGTCTTTCAAAATAGCCACGTGCATTTCAATGGCTTTCTTCGCATTATTAGTAAGTTCAAGTAGTAATCTATTCGCTAAACACTGCTGGTCTAAATATGATGGCTTATATTTATATGTGTAGGTGGTACATCAAAACTTTGTTGTCTTCAGTTTAGTTAGTCCTTCCTCTTCTTTTCCTTTTGTGGAATCCCAGGTTCATTCCATATCAGGGAGTGTATATAGTGAGTAAAGGTTATTGTCACTTTAATCCAACTAATGAAATAGCAGTACATATCACGTAGTTAAAATAAAGACAGATATCGTGGTATTGCACAGTGTACATCAAAGACAGTTGCATTCACCACTCATCTTTTTCGATCCTTACTACTCAGAAAGATAAATTTCGATGTTATAAATGAAGATCTAATTGTTTGTCAAATATTTTGAAGACAGACAATTTTGACAGCACAAACGTCACTAAGATGCGTATGGAAGTAGTGTGGTGATATCACCCTTTCAAGATTTATTGAGAACGATAGTGTTTATTGAAACGATTCATGATCTGTATTAGATCATTATTCAGTCAGATTAGTGTTTCAGCTTAAACAGTCATAATAATCTAATAAAATAAAATCACATACAGGTAGCAGTTAAAATGTACGGAGGTTTCAAAACACTGACTGTAAGATGCATTCACTAGACAGACGTGATGGACATCTTGCAAAGTTATGAGAGTTGAAAAGCAAATCTGGACATGTGATCATATTTCCAGTAACTCGAATGTAAGATTTATTTTCTTTCAGGGGATGTTGTATACTAACAATAGAATTTAAAATGTTCCTCATTATTTTCGTCTTACTTGGAATTGTTCTAGCTGTGACATTTTATAAACACAGGTTGACACATTATTTGAATGTCCAGTAGAATAATTAAAACAATTCAAGTTTCAACATGGATAACATGAGTGAGAGTGGCATTGGAATCCAAGTAGAAGTGAACACCTGTTACGTCATGGTATGTGCTCCTTACTAATACTCAGACATGAAGCCATCGAGGCAGAAAATTTCACATTTGATGCTGAGTGAAAACTAACTGTAGGAAAATGTTATATGCAACTCTAGTGACAAGTCATTAGCAGTGGAATCCACCAGGTCAAGTGTAATGCTAAGCAGTCTACGATGACACCGTCAATGTAAATCGTGAAAGCCACTATACGCCACTATAAACCATCAAAGTCACTGAATAGCCAACAGGTTTGCCTCGTCACCTGGTGGCCCTTGTTAGATTCCTGGTCGGTCTTGAATGCGTACAGCGAAAGTGTCTCAAACTGCGGTGAAACAGCTGTCCAGCACTATTTGATTTTCAGTGGTTCTCTCAGTCATTTTAGTCCGTGATCACAATTGAAAATGACTAAATATCTACAAACTAACAATCTATACAATTCATTATATTTTCAGTTATTTTTTAATATTTCAGTGCATTTTCCTGACGATAAATCGAATGAGATTGTGTGTCTCATATAATGTATTTTATTGTTCAATAATATTTCGAGCATTTTGTATGTGGTTAGCAATGCTTATAATGTTCACATCAGTTTACTACTTCCAGGATACTGTATCTGAAAAGTGCAAGGAAAAACTCCCTAACGATGTATATTGAAATACATAAGTACATCTGGTATGTGTAGTTTTCCATTTTTGCAGCATTTCAAAATAAAAATTCGACTGGTAAAACAGAAAGCAGGTCTTATGCATCAGACTACAATGGCTTCATTCTATGTTATATGTATAAATCAGTCATGGATCACGAAAGGTTATAAGGGGACTTTTTAGCTATGAAGATGAAACGCACCTCAAGATCACTGGGAAATTCTAGTCTCTATTGTCAAAAACGTACATAGAATCAAGTGAAGAAAAAACTCAATCTAGAACAGTCCACAAGATGAATACATTTAGTCATTGTGGACATAACTGAATATTTTGTGTGCATCCGTTAGGATAAATTAACCTAAGTATCTTTCCAATAATGATGTTCAACTGTACTGTGTCTGGGAGTTTGGGCATCTGCATTGTCAGCGAATTTCCCTTGAGTTCTGAAATACGACATTGAATTCTGTCTTTTTGGCAGGTATAAACATTCAGCAGACATATTAATTTATTGTTTGACACGAATCAGTTTTCTTCTGGGTCGGAAAATTTATGATAGGCAATGCAAAGTGTAGAGAAGCTTTGAAGAATAACTGTTTCTCTGACAAATATATCTAGAATCGAATGAGAGATTGTTAGAACGAAAGCAAACGTAGCAATAGGTATGGTATTATTAGTTAGTATATACAATACATTTGAAATATCAGAATTAGGGGATTCAAAATAAATTTAATAGTACAATAAAGATAAGGAATCCCTGGAACTTTTGTGAGAGAGGAATAAAAGAAGCATTTTAGCTCTCACACTCACTAAAAAACAAACTACGTTCGGTAAAATCATCCAGCTTTGTCCACCAGACAAAATTGTATACAAGATTCCGAGGACAAAATCTGAAAGTCTTCAAACCGATTTTTGATTAGATAACCATCCCCTTCAGGGAATCTTTAAGATCAATCAGAATATCCTGAAGAAAGCTGAAGGCGGAAGACAAACTGAAACTGAAAATAGGGAGTAAGAGGAAAATAAAATCTTCACTGTTTCGGTAGGGAAAACTTGAAAATTATGTAAAATCCATTATCAAGAAGAAGCCTGTGTAGAATAACCATGTTACCCTCCGAAGGGAATACCTGGAATAGATCCAAAAAATATTAGGAAAGAAGTATCCTCATATGGACATCCGAATGGGCAAACAAGACAAAAGTAGACATCATATGAGTCAGTGTTTTCGGCGTCGTCTGTGAGCTTCACTTTTGGTCCTTAGGTAGAAACACGGTCAATTCATTAAACGTATGAAGCCACACGCTCACAAGTCAAAATATTGACTTCGCATAGTAAGCACATGAAATAAATAAATAATAAGCTCAGTTACCTTTCCCAAAGGCAGCAAAGATTCGCCTTCTCAGTCTCTCTTCTGTATCTCTCCCACTGCTGAAAAACTACTGAAGTGATTAATCGTAACAGTAGGAACGAAAAAAATCCAGTATTATCCTGTTCACAACGAGTGGAATGACGTGGGCTGTTACCATCCGAAACGATACACGTTTTTATACAGATCTTCATCTCAGCGAATAGTTGTGTGCAAAATGGTGCCATGAAATTCAAAGAATACATGTATAGTTCTGTTGCTAATCCAGTTTTCAACTACAGCAATAGTATTCAGACGTTGACACAATTACAATGATTCTTACTGTGAGAATAATATTCCGATGGAATTCATTGTCTATATTGCACCACCGCAAAAGAAACGGATCCAGAGACATCAGTGGACATACACACTACAGCAAAATTTGTGGAAGTAAAGAAAAGTACCTGTCGATTGGAGAGGAAGCTGCGTAGTCGAATTGCCAAAGAAGGTTTACCTACGTTTCCACGAGAACAGAATGGACACAACACGTCTAGTTCGAATGAATGTTCGGCTAAATGCTATCTAGTGTTATTAACTACCGGTAGTGATATAAATCGTATAGCACTGACGGAAGTGAGAGATTACGGGCCGAAGGATTCCGTCATATAGGGCCAAATAGTCAACAGGCTCACCTCATAAACTGAAAACTTTAAATTGAATACTCGGTGGCTTAATGGAGTAATAAAGAAAATTCGCACTTCTAACACACTGAACATGTTCCAGTCGCCTCCGACAAGATGCTGCCTAATCTGGAATTTGAGAGCGATATATGGCCTAAAGCTCTCCCCAAAGGGCTTCCGAAATCTGTAGCATTCCTTCTCTTATGGGTAACCGGAGACATCATCGTGTAAACTAGACGACTCAAATCTTATCAGCGAGAGTTAGAAATTGTTGAGTGTGTTGATTCACTGTGTTTGAAAGTGTGATCAAACTAATCTGTGAACGTGTTAATTTCTAAACCAGTGCATTGTTCTACGTTTCATATTGAATGACGCCATATGGTGTATCCATTTATGAAGTTATATTGCTGATAAGCAGGCTTGATTTTCTAGGAGAAAGAAAGTGTAAGACGCACTTTAGATGCTTCCACCATTGCACACCCGAATGGTCTCCACAAACTGAACGTTTCTAAGTAAATCTTGTCAAGTGAGCTTACTATGACTGACACTAAACACTTGTTCGTCGGTAGGTTGGTTTCTTTCTCAGACAGGGCAATGAAAAATCCCTTTGATGTGACATCTAGCTTTGAGGCTTGCTGAAGGTGATATCCGTCCTCCTTTCCCATTTTCATGATTTAATTTATTCTGTTGTAGCTAATATTACTAAGTAGATGGGTGAAGTTATAGTCAGTATTCAACTTGTTTCTCAATTGGATCGTTCTTTGAGTGAATAGTTTCTTCTCTACGATTGACAAGTGGTCTCCTTAGTGTGAGAGACTTGCGTTTATGTTGGTGGTTGTATGAGTCTTCTGAAATCCATGGAGAGAATAATTAAGAGAAATTTACTTGTACGAATGATACCTTTTGTCACTATTCAGTTCCTACTGTTTACTTACTTGAACAATACCACTAGGTGCGCCTTTAGTGAAATCAATTTTAATAATAGTTTTTAATGGTACCTTATTTGCAAAAAACATGATGAATCGATATTATGTTTTTCGCTGTTTGTATTATTGAACAGACGGACTTTGTTCCACGCTCAATAAAAAATATTCAGAAATCAATGGCAACTTTGTTTTCAGTTGATGAAAATGAAGACACTAAGTCTGTTTTTGTTCACTTCATCACCCTGGACTTATCCATAAGGCTCGTCAAGCTCCTTAATTGGACGATTTTAAACTCTGTACTTCACAATTACCCAATATATTTGTCAATGAATGTTAGTCTTTACAGTAAATCCTGATTCTATGTGCGAATTCAACAGATTTTTCGTCTCATAGAGAGAAGATGCAAAGTCTAACAGTAGATAAATTAAATCTGAAATACATGATTGTCTGTCATGCATATACTTTATAATAAC